TGTGGAATTACAAATCAAGGGAATGAAGGCTGATCAGTATTTTAAAACAAATGTTTATGCAGGTAATATCTTTAAAACAACAAATACATATTTTCCAATTATTTACTGAAAGTACTTGACTAAACCCTTAGCACTAGGCGGTATTTGTGTGTTCCAGCTGAGAAGCATCTTAATTTCTTTAAACACCATACTACTTTTACATGAGAATTCTTAACAGATTTCAACTCCCTTCATAGCTGGGTAACATATTGGAGTCAAGCCTTTGAATCAAATTTTGACTGTAGAAAAATCAAGCAGGGTTTCAATATGGTTTTGGTCACAACAACTATTTTAAGGGTTTTTTTGGTGGCATTTTTGTTTAATTATCTTGACTTATGCAAATAATTCCCCACTGATATTCAACAATTTTTAGTTTGCTGGTAGTGTCACAGTACAGATACATGTGAATTGCTTTGTATCTGTCTGGCCCCACAAGAATATTGTAGATAAAATGGACCATTATGCTACTCAGGCACTAGGAAGCAAGATAATAGCTAAAAGATAGGTTTAAACCTGCTGAGCACTTACCCAGTTTTTCTTTTTCTTTTTCTTGGAGTCAGCATCATTACCACTGCCAATGCTTGAATGGCTTGTAGCGCTGTTGATGCTGGAAACGCTTTCTGAAGAATGTTGCCGCCTTATACGTAAATCTAAAGGAAAGAAATTAATGTGAAATCTATCTGCCCCTGTTTCAATATAATAATAATTCTTGCATTTATTTAACACCTTCCTCCTCAAAGGGAGCCTAAATGGCATTGATGCGTGCAGTGGCTCAGATTCAATCTATTGCAGTCTGTGAGAAACCACATGGGGGTCAATGGGGATCCATACAATTAGGCTAACACTTAGCAGCTCTTCCAAACTGGGGTCTTACTGGCATGAAGGCAATGACCCTGCACAGCAATCTGTGCAGGCATAAACTCATAGCTAAGCGGTTTCTGTTACAGATGGATTACTTGACTTATTACTATCACACGTACTACAGTTCTTTTTCTGAGGAGTGTGGGCACTTCTCGACTTGTAGCAGGCCTAATCAGTGTTCAGATGTTACTTTCTAATATACCATGATGGAAATAAGCAGGTAGGAGTTCATTAAAAATGAATGAAACAAAATAACCAAGGAGTGGAGAATATTAGAAATAGTTGGTGAGTTCCAATTGGTGAGTTCCAATTTCTTAAGAGTTTCTGATAGCTGTATCTTAATCACTGGAAAATATTCTTGCAGAACACACCCGCTAATACCAAGGGAAATTACTTTTTAGATTATTTTTTACTTCCTAGAAGTTAGCTTTGCTATAACCAAGTCATGCAACGAAATGACCTTAAGGCAAACATCTAAATAATGACCTCTTTAAAGAAAGATCAATGACACTCTCAAAAATGAATGCTGCTACTAATTTTTTAGTTCAAGTAATTCCTTTGCTGTTGCTTATCAACAGGCACTTTTGAAATATATATTTATCATGTGACATCTGCCTAACTGCAATGACAAATTAGTTCAGAATCTGGAATTTAAAATGCCTGCTTTCCTGCACTGATTTAGCACCTCGTGAAGGAGCCGAGCTGTTGTCAGTCCATCTCTTAACAATGAGTACACCAATTTTCAGAGTTACAACTTACACTGAATTTCCAAGGTATAACCATATTTCACCATAAGACTACATTAGTGTCTCGAGTGTACTTCAATACACAACTGCAGCGACAGGGTTAATTCTTGACACCCAGCCATCTGTTCATGGCCACCCAGTTCTGAGAAGACACGGCTCCAGGAACTCAGGCACACAGGAAGCTCACACAAGGTTTCCAGTTCTGGAAATACCACAAGTATGCCTACCATGCACTGCAGAATGTGCTTGCCCTTGCAACAGAGCCCCCAAAACAACAGAAAAGTAGTGACTTAGCTTTTTTTCTGGGGAGAAACTCTGTATTTATTTTAATAGTGACAAAAACATACCTTTGTGGGTATGATCGGGACCGTTCAAGGCTCCTTGAATAGCAGCTTGTGCAGCAGAATTCTGGGCTTTCAGCATTTCAATGGTCTCCCTTAGCTCTATAAGCTCAGATTCCTGTGGGAAGAGCAAAGAGAGCTCAAAATATATGGCACAAGAACAATGCTTGTCTAAGCTAAAAAAAATTACAAGATAAGAGTCGTCGAACAGAAGTTCATGGGACTGCTTGGGTGAACTTAAGGGCAACAACTAAGTAGAATGCATATTTTCTTTCCAAAGATATTAAATGCAACTGATGTATTTTGCATTTATTCTGCATAAAGCAACCATGCTATTTTTAAAGATGTTTTGTTCTCCTTAATAAAGACTAATCTAAAAAGGGTCTCAATTGGATATTCGTTATAAAGTTAAGAGAAATACAACAATTTTATTGTGAAAGACAATAAAATCATTTGAATTACATTCTCTAGTAAGTGAGGCTATTGTTTAATGGATGAATCTCAACCTGAATTTGTATAATTTTCAAAAGATTTAACTTGCTAAATAATAATTCAATTAAAAAAACCCCTGTTTAATAGCAACTTTCCTGCAAGTTGAAGTAATATTACTCCACTTGAGTGCAGGAAGTTCTGTATTAGAATGCACAGCCAATTTTAATTAAAAAATAGCTTTTATTACTATTGCATTAAACCTGTCCTTCCAGCTCATATTTATATAATGAAGATTAAAGGAATTTAAACTCAACAATAAAGAGAAGGAAAAGAACATGTTCCAAATCTTTTGGGAAAGAAGCTTGGACATGATCTGTTTCAATGTCACTGCTTAACCTCTTCTGTAAAGAAAACCTTCTGAGGGAAATTATACTCTGTAAAATAGTCAAAAGTCTGGTTTTGAAGAAAATTCCACTATGGTTTTTTTTTGTTTAAGACAAAAAAAAAAGCAAGGAATACAAGTATTTTCTATCCAGTTCACAGAGTCTTACCATATTTCACCTGTTGGTGCTTGATCAGACTGTGAAATGTTATTTTTATAGACAGCTACACTGACTCCGGTGGTGACTAACAGCTCACTGATATACAGTTTCTTTCACAGTTTGGCTCAACGAGGCCTTTCCGTTTACAGGATACTGTTCAAAATGAATAAGGGCAGAACGTTGCAGAAGTTGAATCCCGGAACATGCTAACCAGCCTCTTAATCCTGAGCTCGGTACAATGGCTCACATTGAATTTACTACCTATCAGGTTTAGATTTTTTTTCCCCCAATAGTCAAAACAGCACAGTGAAAACCAAAACTGTTTACTCATGAATAGGATACCTAACTTGCATTAACTTTCTGAATGGAGTCATTTTTCTCTGCTTAATGTTCTTCCCTTCCCATAATTCTATTATTCTGACAGCACTGGCAGGCTGGAATGAAGCACTCCAGCAGGTTATGACCAGTCTTTGTTATGGGATCTTTCAGTATGGATTAAACCTAGAGTCACATATGTTTTAATTAAAATCTGGAAACGAAAGATTTTATCTTCAAACTATTCTATGATATTGTCTGTGTAAACCCGATGCTGCACAGTTTATTTCTCCTGGAGCTTTATGAAGATTTGATCGCAATGGCCATTAAAGAAAACTCTGTCTTATTGTCACAGCTGTCCCTGTTTCTTTTCAGTGTTTTTTAAACAAAACTAATACAATATGCTGACTGTTTTCCACATTAAAGCATTGGCTTTGGTAAACATACCTTTTGTTCAGCTGTCATTGTTAGACTTTGCAATCGGCCGGTCATATTTCCCAAGCTTTTTTCGAAAGCTGCTACTAGATGAGCCTGTGAAGGAAACAGAAGACAACATTCATCATGACAATGGGACAATTTTCCTAGATCTTTTTTTTTTTTTTTTTTTAATATTTTTTTCCCTCCAAGCTCATCTTCTCCAGCTCTTTTCTATTAGTTTTAAACTCAGACTGAGCTAACTTGGATAAGTGAAGCAGCCAAGTGAGCCCAGTGTTCCTCAGGCTTCTTTAGCCCCCAAGGAGATTAGCTCAGGTATCTCTGCCTGGAAAGGAATTATGGATTTAATGCCCTGCTTTCAGTTTGCTGATATACTGGTCAAAAGAAGTCTGCTCCCAAATAGAAGTCCAAGAACAATTATTTTCAATTACTGAACACTTCAAAATGGGAATTCAAGTACTTTATCTTAAAAGGTAAGTTTTAACCTCACAAATAAAACACACCAGAGGGATCCTGAGACTCAAACAAAAAATATCACAGTTAGGTTTATAAAAGGTCATGACTTAGTCTAGTCATCTTATATTGATTATATATATGTGTGTGTGTGTACATAAATGCCATAAAAACATATAAGAGAGAAATATAATATTTATACATATCTTCAAATGTGTATATAAAAGACAGTCTTGAAAACTGGAAGTCCTACTTCTTAATAAGAAAAGCAATAAAGTTGAAACCAATTAAAAGATTTTAAAAAATTAAAGCTTCCTTCTATTTTCTAACAACATTCGTCCTACAGCCTATGCAAGCAAAATTTTTACAAACAATACATCAGATCTTCATTGGTTCTGACATTGAGCTTTGTAGGCAAAGAAGGTCAAGTGGTCATAAAGAAACCAACAAGCTAAGCCAGCTTATACAGCCAATCAAAAGTAAGAATTTAATTTTTATGAAATTCCATAAAATTCCATCCACACCTGTCACACCACCATATAGGAAAAGCAGAAGGAAATACTTATTTTCTCTTTACCATCTCAAAATTAGTAATAGTCAAAGTTTTCAAGCATAAGCACTACAATACACTTGGAAATATAACTCACAAACAACATATTTATACACACAAATGGATTAACCCAGCTTTCTCACCGAGAAAATTTATTTTTTATTACAGCAGTACAGGCACACACAGTGTCTGGCAAATTTTTCAGTTACAGATTTGCATGCTTGTACAAGCATAGTTGAAATTGTTCAAATGTATGTGTTTGTACTGAACCTGAGGTATAATCAGAAAAAGACATAGTCCAAAAAGGATTGTGTTATGCACTTCAGGAGAAGGACAAGAGCTTCTTGCCACCTTGCTCTGTATATTATTCCTTAAATGAAAAAAGATTATCATATATATAATAGTGGCCCACTTCTTTGTCTCCACTTCAGAGCTGTTATATTGATAAGTGGCTTTTGTCTTTTGTAAATCGTTTTGGATTGCTATAAACATTTCAGTATCTTGTAAACTCCTTATTTTACACTTATTAAACTTACTACAAGTCTAGTTCTTGTAAATTATATTATTGGTAAATAATTTATTTAATTACTTATAGATTTAGTGGTCAATCCACCTGCATTCTGTATCTGCAGGTATGCCTTAGGGATACTTCTTTCGGTAAAGGATACATACCCCAGGGACTAACTTTTGATAAACATGAGACTAGATAAATACGTAAGATCTTAATGATTAATTATTAATTGTGTCTATTCCTATTTTAACATCTATAACTTCAGCTATATTCTTGAAGTTACAATTTTAAATAAAACAAACCTGGAATATGTTTAAAATGCACATCTGAAACCTGTCAATCAATATAAAGTTATTCTAGCTAGTTTGGAAACTACAGCTTTCAGTTGTTTTCACTACTCTATTCCTCTGAGAAGATCGAAGTAACTAGTTTTTAAACTTACTTTTCACTTTAATAATTAGCTACATATTAAAAATATCCAGAATATTTTATGGTGTTTTATTCCAAAGATGATGATCGCTGACCCAGAACACAATCAGAGACAAAGTAGATGCACTACCACAGAATTACAGCCAAATGTCTCTTCATTACATGTATTTAACAGGAAACTAATGGAGCTCACTGTTCCCTGCCTCATAAAAAAACCTATGGCTTGGCTGATGGCCCATGGTTCTGCTTTATCATGAGAATAACAATGGGGACTGAGGGCTTGAAAAGAGGAATAATTTGCTTAATTATGCATTGCTTTTGTCCGTTTCTCACAATTAGACTGTGATAACCACGGTTCTTTGGTACCTAACTATGCATATTTGTGCAAAGTATTTTCCTGTTCCACAGCTACAACTTCAGCTTATATCGTATACGAAAAAACCACAAGGAACTTACAGGAAAAATTAAGGAACTCATAGGAAAAATCAAGAACTAAAAAGCATCATTAAAAATGTCATCAAAGGTCACTGAGACTATTAAGTTATTGTCTGATAGCCTTTAGAGAAAGACAGCCATGTCATAACTATGGATTCTTACTAAAATTCAGGCTGTGACAGAGTAATTTACCTTTTTGGAGTAGCACACCAAAATTTTTGCATCACAAATGTAATTGGATCAAGATGATGGATCCTTCCTAATTCATTTGAGATAAAGACTATCAGGTCTTGATTTGCTAATAATAAAGAAACATAATTCAAAGGCCCATCAACTGAAAACTATTCAAGAAAAAACCTTCAATCACATTGTTCATTACTTTGATTGTTTATTATAATAGAATACTCTTCTATGAAATACAAAGTATTAATTATACATTCAGAGTAAAAAACTGTGCTGCCTTTCCCCATGGTAGCAACTGTTTATTTATTCAGCAGTCTAGGGAACATCTACTTGTTGAAATCTTATGCAGATTTGTCCCTAAAGAAATACTATGTAACAAAATGAGAAAAGCTAGTTTGAAAAAGGCTAGATTATCAGTATATTTATATGTGTGTGGAAGTATGCATAAAACATATGTATGTATATATTCCTATTTAAGATCAGACTTTGCATTTAAGTACTTAAATGAAAAATAATTCAGAAAAGAACACATTTGAAACAAATAGAAAGAAGTAACTGTGACTTTAAAAATGCTCATTAGAAATAAAAAATTCTAATTAGAAACTTCTTTTACACTTACAAATTTGGTAATTGATTTTGATTAGATTGGTAATCCTCAACTTCTGAGGATTATTTACTTTATCCAAAAGGATCCATTTTTTCATTCTCATAAAAATATTTAGGAATAGTTTTTTTTTTTTAAAGTTTCACACCTTAGAAATCTCTGTGTTAGATTTAGTAGTTTCATTCATGGCATACATAATTTGAATACCATACAAAATAGCCTGAGTACTTCATATGCTTTAAATAATACTTATTCTAAAGTAAAAATATATCTTCACAATTGAATGCAGCATTTGTACTTGGAAATAGATATACTAGAATTACAGTTAAGTAACTAGGCATTACTGGAAGTATGCCTACAGCGAAATACATCTATCTTTAACATGACATACATATTAGATACACAGATGATGTACAGCTCTTAATCTGCAGATCCATCACATACGGGTTAATTTTGACTTCTATTAACATGTGAGATTCCCACTGGAAATAGTCAAAGAGATATATGCTCTGTGAACGACTTCAGTGCTAAGATGTCAGATTTGATTTTAAACATTTCCTTCTTCATAAATGATCCCAGCCAGCCAAACCCCAAACACCTCAGCTCTTAGGTTTACAGCCCATCCTGAACACGACATTGGCATATCCAAAGACCATCTGCTAACACACTTTGCGACTTGACCTGTGGCGTTCAGGTTTATAAAACAAAGGCAAATAAATAAATTTCCTCCCACCTGACATGGCTGAATGAAAGGAGGTGTGAGAGGCCAGAAGGGATCAGGCTGATTGCAAGAAGCAACCGTACATCTGGTGACCTTTTCTGTTCGCCGCTTGCTATTATCTTGTTGTCTGGCTGTAGGATAGTGGTTCAGAGCTGGCCAAACAAGAGTATTAGCCACCGAACCCCCTCCGCTTTCTACCGGCATCCTGGGTCTACCACAGTTTGCAAGCGTGCACCCTTCAGCTTTATACAGTACAAAGCACTGATAAAAGTCCCGCTGAACAGGCTGGGTTCAGGCTGCTCACTGGAATTTGAGCCCTTGTCAGTCACGTAGCAAGTCTGCTGGTTGGACACTTTCACTTGCACTGAAAACAGGCCCTTTCTTAATTAGTATTGAGATTTGCCCTTCAGCAACACCGAAACAGGCAGCAGGGGAAAAGTCAGAATCTCAGAAAAAAACCCTGTAAATTAAGCATCCAAACAACAGCTGGGCCCTGCTTGAATTTAATCATATGCAGGCAAAACACTTTGGGGTTAATCAAATGAAATAAACTGCTGAAATCAAGCATAGTACTTGAGTCCAGTCAACAAAATCTGAATAATTAATGAAGCCAAATAAGAAAAGTCTTAGCAGAGGTTTCCAAAATGCCTGAGAAATGCTATAACTGCCAATTGACAGATTTTGATATGAACTAATACATCAAGCAAAGGCTTGATCAAATAGGTCAGATTTCAGCCTGACAATCTTTTAATGACACATGTACTACTGTCACCAACAGTCTTTTGTAGCAAAGCAAAGACAGACATGAATAGTGTTGAAACAAGATGAATAACATGCTCTTTTTTTCACTCGCATACAACACTTTTGCTCAGTTCTACAAAGGGAAATGGTAACAACAAATTCAAGCCCGAGATGAACTGTAAGGGAACATTATTTCTGGCTGTTAACAGTTTCCTTCTCCAGACTACAGGGAGGAAAAAAGTGCTGCCTCTTTTCAGACACTGAAAATATGGAAATTTGGAGGAGCTTAGGACTAAGGCTAAGACGAATGCATTTATAGCAAAGGCATCAGAAAGGACGGAGTAATTTTCTGGTCAGCAAAGGCACCAGAGAAGGGACTCTGTTCAATACAGTTCTCTGCCTGCCAGAGATGGGTGTATCTACAGAAAAGACAGGCAGTGACCAAACTTTTTTCTACATTAGACTTATTGTTCGTTCAGCTTTTAGCCTACTGGCATGCAAACGTGACTCAAAATGAGGGTCACAGTAGTATTATCCATTTATAGAGTAAAACACGGGTTTGATTTCTTCTCTGAGGATAAATTCCAGCTTTTTAATGTCAGGGGCTGGTGAAGCACGTCTCTTGGATTAGGAGATAAATGATAACTGAATACATGCAAGTAAAGCATTGCTAAGCCAGTACAGGTTCATGAAAATTAGAAGCCCATCTGAGTTTTTTATAAGGTTGTCAAACTAAATCAAACATTTGTTAGTAACTCTCATAATTGTTATGAAAAGCATAATCACTGGCATTTAAATATCAGTTCTGTAATTAGACTAAATTTCAGAGGCCATATTACAATTAAAAGGTATATACACTGTTTTCAAGCTGGATTTTATTTTTAGTCTTTAAGTGATAGTTCATAGAATTTATTTACATAATGTGCTCAAACAACTTACAGAATTAGAACTAACATATCTTTAAGTGTTCTCTTTTGATCCTTTGGACTTAGGTGGAAGTGGTTTTTTTAACACTTTACATCTTCCGTACCACAAATAGCAGAATCAGGCTTATTGTGTAATACTTTTCAGGTTTTGGTTTTGTAAAGTACATATCTCATGACAACATCCCCCAAAATGTTTACTTATAATACCTAGTAATATCTATTTTTTCTTTCAAGATTGTATTCATTGCAGAGGTGTCTAAATCCCTTGTTCATGCCTTGAGAATTTGAAGCCTCTAAGTTTCATGTTCCTGACAAGTTTAATTTTAAGGGAATTTCCACATGTTGGGGATTTGGAAAAAAGAAAGATTTCTCTGGTACCATTTAAAAGCCCCATGTGCTAAAAGGATCAGCTTTAGGATTGCTTAGAGGTTTAGAATTAAAAGAGTGTCTCCATGGAGATGGATTAGAAGGTGAGTGACACAGTCAAAAGAATGTGATTAAATTAACGTTTATACAACATACAGTGTGCACGCACGTATACATATATGCATACAAGCACATACAGGTTTACAAATGTGGTGCTTCTGGATAGGCAAAACCAGATGCACATGTATATATTTTTTAATTGTCCTGTTGAAAATGTTACCCTTCCAATTAAATCAGCAGAAAAGCTACGGGCATTCTTACTAGGTGTTCAGAAGTCCAGAGGCAGTACATGGGACCAGATCCCCAACCTATACAATGAGTTATACAGGTTAAACCCAACTAATGTCTAACTCATGCAGCAGCTTTAGTTTGAATGAAAACCAAGACAAAATGTAACATTTTCAGCTTGACTCAGTTTCTCTGAAATACGGACCAAATCTAATTGTAACTTGGAGCTGACTTTGAAAATTTGCCTAGAATAGGTAATGTTATTAGAAACCAGTCTGTAGGGTGTTTACTCCACACAAAGGAATGCTGGCCAGAGATATAGTCAATGACGTCTAAATAACACTGAGGAGAGATCAGACACAATTTGCCCAAGCGAACCGAACAATGGCCTCACTGCGTCCGCTGCAGAGGAGAATGCCCTGCCATCTTCTATTGCACTTGTTGCTGTATTATAGGCTACAGCTTTGCTGGGGTCACTGGAAAAGGACGGAGACTAAATAGAGTCATCTTTCAGCCCTCCCTTTCAACACCTCGAGGAATATGCTGGTGCTTTCTGTTCAGAGTTAGAAAGAGAGAAGGGCAAACGGCTTGTCTGCCCACAGAGTAAAGTGAGGAACGGTACCAAGAACCTGAGTTATCACCATCGGAGTGGCTCCCACACCAGCTTTAGCACAGGCACTGAGGACAAGCGCATCACAGGCAAACAGTTTGGTCTTACTGATGTGGCAGCACTGCTCAGAATCACAGAACGGGTTGGGCTGGGAGGGAACTTTAAAAATCATCTAGTCCAACCCCCTGCCCGTGGGCAGGGACATCTTTCACTAGATCAGGGGCTTGCAGGAATCAAGCTAACTCCTCTGGATAACAAAACCAGCTGCTGCTGTATGGGCATTAACAGGGCACTCGGAGTGGATGTGGGGATGTCTGTGATCGTGCTGTGCCACAAGCCCAGGCACAGCCCACCTCCCTGTGCTCCCCACCACAAGGCAGAGCTGCTGCAGCCCTGCATTCTGGGTGGAAAGTGCCCTGCAGAGAACAACGGCCTTGTTAGTAAACACGACTACCGCAGGCATGCTGGCTTAGCTCTTCTGACCTCTCCGTGTTGGTTTTAGTTTGTTGCTCTCAGGACGGGTGAGTGAAAAACTGCCCCAATCTGGCAAAGATGAAGATCAATGTCTAAAACATATGAGTGATGGAACCCCATACCCGGGATAGGCATGCTGGCTATAAATTCCCAAATGAATAACCCAACTCAGAACCTAGCTTTTGAATTTACAAGCACTGCAGGACTACAATATTGTCTGTTTCACTAGTTTATCCTCAGAAAAGAATTCGGAGCAGACTAGCAACCCATACTGCTGCAGAGGTACAAATGCCCACAGGTGTTCTGCAGCCACCTGAACAGAGCAGAAAGTGCTAAGAGCAGCTCTTCCACATTTTCACGTGTGGCAGTCCTAAGACAGCAAACAGCTTTCACACAGGTAGAGATTATTTTCTCACAACATGAACACAGTACTACTTTACCAACTGAAATAATTTCTCAGAAATTATGGCAGTATTTATAGATATAAATACTCAGCCCATCTACATTTTGAAAAAAAAAATGCACTCTATAGGTTGCTCAAGACATCAGGAAACTGCTTTCTTGAAATGCAAGATACTCTCTTGCAACTTCATCTCAGCTTTCCTTGGGAATGGTAACTATAGTCATAACTTGAATTGCATTTAAAAATCACTAGACAACAGATTGTTCAGTAACTATCTGATAACCTCATCTGAAACCATAGTAACCAGACAGGATTATAGCTCACGTTCCCTGCACAGCATTATTTTCTGATCACATGTTCAATAACTCACATTACCAGTGTATGACAATTGGAAGGAACACCAGGGAGCTCTCTGTGAAACTGCCCAGTTTTCATTAGTTATACATCAGCACAGTTGTTGCAGCATTTAATTCTACGTACAATTGTATACCGTGCTTCCCTCCACAACTATCTGCGTTTTGCAGGGTTTATCTTTGTGAAATGAAACTATAACGAATTCTATCTGAATATGCAATTCATGCCCTTTCTTTGGCTGTGTCTCCTTATTTGGGGGCGTTTTTTTAATTGAGTCTGAGGAACGAGTGAAACTGAACTGGATAGGACTGTTGTCACATCCAAAGTGTGCAAACTCTCCTTTCCATTTCCATTGTGTTTGGTTACAAGATTTCTTCTGCTTGAAGCTGAGGCAATATAGGCATTTAATGAAATAATTAATTTGAAACACACATACACGCAAAGTAAAAGTCTCCCAGACCATGTGTTCAGGAAGAGCTATTAGCCAATTTGATAATGTATTCTTCAATAGTGTTTATGATCATAAGAAAAATACTTACATTTGCCGAAAGTTGAGAAGTAAGGGTAGCAACTTTCTCTTGTGATGCAACCAGCTCTCTCCGTAGTTTCTGAATTTGCTAGGAAAAAGATGACTGCTGTCAGTATTTCAGCAATTTCCTTTTGTTGTGTTTTTTTTTGTTTGTTTTCTTAAGGGATCACTAACAGGTTTACAATGTCTTAGTTTCACATTTTAATCTCAGAACTCTTCAGAAATACAAATTATTAAATGTTGGCACTTAGTGTTGCTCCAACTGTTTTCTTGCACTTAACTTGTGTATGAGCTAGAATTCCAGTTAAGGGAGCACGTGTAGGCAAATGCTTAATTACTTCATATGTACAATCCTCTGTTTTCACATGTAAATGTCATGGTTTTTTACCAAATCCCGTAAGTTCCAAACATATCCTTAGTGTAATCAAGGATAGCAGCTCTGGATGAGGCCTGAGATTATGAAACACGAACAAATTTGGGTGAGGTTCACTGTGCCTGACTGTAGACATGATGCAACCGACATATGTTAAATGTCTACATTAGACTCAGATAAAGTGCCAAAAAGCACTCCTGCACTGCCTGGCGTGAAGAAAGCTTTGACTGCTACCTCAGACACAGATTTTTGCTTCATGGATGTCTAAAGTTAGATGAGGTACAGTAATAATTTTTTTTTCTCTAACACAATACTTCCTACAGTCCCTGTGATTCAAACATGCAGTCTCTTTATATACTATTCAAAAACTTGTTTGCCAACTTAAAAAAAGAAATGTAGCTTTAAATGTGCTTGTTCACATGAAAGTAAGTTTAATTCAAGGCTCCTGTATCTTTTGATAAAAACGAAAATCCTTAAGAAAAATACCTGTTTACATTTCAGCTAAGACAGATACAAAGCATGAAACGCGCATTATTTTAAGCTCATTTAACCCTATTTGAGATCTTACTGGAACTCCAGGCATTTCACAGAACTTAAGCACAGCATGGAGTTTCACTTTGAAAGCCCTTTCACATCCAGACATAAAAGAAATTATTCCAGACTAGAGAAGTAAAACGTCTAAAACTAGTTTAGGAAAGGGAGCGCATAACGTTCACTAGCAAAGACTATTGCAGTACTTTAATTTTATGACTCCCGTGAAAACCAACAGGGAATATTGCAAAAGCTTTAAGAATGAACAAGTTCCTGTATATCTATGATACAAAAATAGATAGGTCATTTACACTAGCTCAGAGCCAAGGAGACTGATTATTGAGCTGTGCTCCATCCTGGACTGCCACTTTTCTTTTTCCAAGTTTTCTCCTCGGTTTTCAATAGCAATTATTTGACCTTCCTGCTTAAGCTACACTTTCGTCATATTGCTGCAACTATATGTAGGTAGTTCTCATGAAGTGCTGTTCAACATCTCCTGCAAGAGGATCACAAAGCAGAACTAGATACTAAGAAAACATCATGTAGAAATACATAGGAAAGAAATGTTGTTTCATCTCTATAGACAGCCCTATATAAAGGGCAATGAAATGAGGAATTGTCATTTACACTGCTGAGCTATGGCGTGCTTCTTCACCTTCTTTGCTTTAACTTTCAGAGAAAGGAGCTTAGAAAATTCAGGTAGAAATTATATTGAAACATACTGCGACAAGTGAAGAAGAGTATGTTTATTTGTTGAACTTCCTCAAAATATCTTGTAGTTGACTTTTTCTCTGATTAGAGTAGTAAAAATAGAAGCAGCATAAATGCAGGAGAGGGAAGGGATGTAGCTCTGTGAAGTGGAAGAGCACCCCTTGGTGCTGCGTTTTATTGCTTCTACTCCTGGGTGCCCTTTCAATACAACCTGGACTTCATTTTGAGAAAGGCTGTAATTGTATCCAGCTGCTGACCCGGGCTTGTCACCCATTCTTATACACTGTGAGGAGAAAGAAGCTGTTTTCCACGTCACATTTGATTTATTTCTGAAATCAATCCGCGTTGCTCTGAAATCCATCAAAGTGGGCAGTTTCAGAAATGTAATATAATGCAAAATGGAAGGGAGAGAAGTTCAAAGTGAACATTTGAAGTATTTTTCTCCTGAAAGGCAGCACATTACCTTGAATTGCACAGTCCCTTAGATCCAGTACAGAGAAGCATTAAGTCTGAAATCAGACGTATCACAGCTCCTCTGCTCAGAAGACCGATTCTCATCGATTTTTTTCACCTTTTTCAGAACCTCAGCCAGGAGGCATTCTTCCGCACGATGCTAAGAAAACACCTTCTACTGCACTAGAAGCTGCATCAGCTTTCTACCAATACTTCTTAAAACGTGGTGCAAAGACACAGGCTGTATTTTCCCCAGCCGCTCAGCAGTTTAGCCATAGCAGATAAAGCATAAACTTTAAAATAATATAATGCAATACATGAATACAAAAGTGAAGAAAAGTTCTTACCTCTGAATGTGCCTTTTCTTCTGCCTAGAAGAAAACAAAGAAGAAATGGCTTAGAAACAGTGTGCAACATAATTGAGGTAATAGAAAACAAAAGCCAGCGACACTGAAGTGAAATGAATAGCTTCATAGATCCATTACATTTAAGAAAAGTATGCAGTAAAAACAATAAATGGAATTCTTTTCAACTTACTTGGCAAGGCTCCAGCTGAAACCCCAAAGAGTTTGCCAGCATACTGACAACATGAAACAGTGGATAAAGGGAGAACAGGAACAGAACTGCAGAAACTGCAGCTACATTTCTAAGATACAAAAGAAAATTTGCTATGCTGTCACCGCATGGTCCTTAGTCTGTTACCAGCAAGCTTTTACACCATAATGATTATTATGGTTCCTGGAATTATATTGGTTTTACTGTACACTGAGCAATATTCCTAGTAGACTAATGGCTGCTAAGAGAAGTTGACCATAAACTAGTGAAACGTGTATGGGGGGAAGGGGAGGGGAGAGGGGTACTTGCACTTTAAAGTAATTTCTTCCATAGAGAGTACTGACCAAAATATTAAGGGCTATCAAGGCATGTTTCAGCTTAAACTTGCTAATAATAGTTAATAATTTTAGATATGTTCCATATTGTTATGTATTGTGTCATATAATGATGCCATTTACTCAGAAGTCTTTTTCAAAAAGCTAAGAAACTAAATCATTGCAAGGTAAACCTTTGAAAGTCATTAAATTTGTACACATGGGAGCAGTCTAATTTAGGGAGCACTTGGTAGACAGAGAAATCTTGCTTCAGTGGGATTCTAATGGAAAGGAGTGCTGGGCCATGAGAGAGGAACTCTTTCATAACAGAAAATAAGAATCAGTTCATGTACTGGAAAACAATCCACCCCATGATCTGAGACGGCCCAAGTTAGAGAAGTAGTCTAACATTGTCTGGAAGAGAAGTAAGCAGTAAAAGGAAAATGTGGGTAGAAGAATTAGCTATAAATAACACTAAAAAAGCTAAGAAAACCCAAAGTAAGAGCTCCTCAGAAGATTCCCTGACATCAGGCAGTATCTGTGTTATTACAGACTAATACAGCTGCTTTTTTAAGCCTGTATTAAGCATGGCTTTTGTGCTGTTAGAATTTTAAGAATTCATTACAGAAATGTTTTCTTACTTTACCTGGTGTAGGGGGAGAAGACTTTTAGAAAATGCCTCTTTCCATACATGCTTATCTGTTAACAGTCACTAAAAAGACTGCGATGCTGTGGTATTTCCCTGTGCAACACTTAGAACTGCTCTTGGCTGAAACTACTGTAATACCTGATACATTATTAGATGGGAATGATTGGGAATAGTGATTGTTTACTTGCCAGCACTAATGTGACATTCATACTGATACTAACTTTCTGATCTATGTTCCCAAAAAGGAGATCTGCCTACAGAAAGAATTGAAATTCTTTTCTCATTGTTGTTACTTCATGCATGTAGTGCATGAAAAGTCACAAAGGGATCAAGAAAGACCATGTCCCCTTATGAATTCTACTGTGCCAAGAAAAGCAAAAAAAAAAAAAATTAAGGGTTAGTGACCTTTTCCTGAAACCGCCATGTGGGGATGTGGTCCCTCGTCCTCAGACCACTGGCCCCTGCTGATGAAGGCAGTGCCACATGTCGTTACCAGATGACTCCCTCACTGTATGAGGAAGCGTTGCCTCTCTCCCAGAGGTCAGAGAGGTGGCTCCCACAACTCAACTTTTGTGGGCAGTGGAAGAAGGAAATGAAAGAGAAAGAACAGAATTCTGGGTATATCATCAGTTTAAAAACCAAAATCTGACAACTAAATACACCTGAGCAGTTTTTACTTAAGAGTTCGTGCTGACACCATTGTAACCTAGCACTCAGCCATTGGTTTAAAAGGCTCTAAAGTGAAATAATGCCTTTTCTCCCTCTACTTCTCCATCATATCCATGCATCCCATCCTTGTAAGGATTTTTTTTTTCAATTTTTGAAGACTTAAAATATTAGCATACAAATGACATGTCCTTACACATCTCCTTTGAGCTTGGCTTAGCACAGTTAACGAAGTCTAGGGATTCAAAGTGTAGCTAATGCTGAGAGCCGGTGCAAGAAATACAGCAATTAACTAAATATGTGCAAATTGCAATGTCTCACCTACTGAGCAGGAGGAGATTAAAATTGGAGACAACCTATCATAATTTACACTATCACACATCTTTTTCAGCTTCTCAGAGAGCTAGATATATTCACTGCCAAAACTGAATCTGTATTTCAATCCTACAGTCTACTAAGTCCGCTTACATGGCATACTTTTCTGTGAAAGAAAATGGTTGTCTCGGTACATGCATACCTCTACAAGCTAGATTTCCAGTCTATTCAAGTGAGTCCTGAAAATCCAAATGCAAAGCAAGATGAAAGCCAAATACAGAAAATACTAGTGAATGCAGAACTTCTGCCTCATTGGACTTATTCACTGCAATGGCAGCAAATAATGAAATGTCTCTTCTGAATCTCACATTCTAATTCTCAAAGAACCAATCTTCAGAGAATAACTTCAAGATTTTAAGCTGTCCTCTAGTAATAATACATAAATATATTGATTTTTATTAGTACTTTGTAACTTTCCAGTGATTAGGCTGCAGAAAACCGCTAGCACCAAGGCTTAAGGCAATGCTTGAGAAATCTGACAAATATATTTGATTAAGATACTTATGGAAAGGCAGCTGCTTTGGAATTCCTGCTTAATGATTTTGGCCTGGTTAAGTAAGGTAAAAAAGCTCTTGCACTACTCTTTGAATCTAGTAATAGCTGAAAGGGAATTCCATGTGCTATAACCCTGTGAAGCTACCCCTTTCTGGAGGAGATGGGGCACGGCACCATATCATCGAACAATGAAACGTTGTTCTCTGCTTTCAGCTGACGTGATACTGATTGCCAGCCTTTCATGTTTCTGTACTCCACTTGTGCATCATCTTCTGATTAACTGCTGAATAGTTTAAACTTTTTTCACAGGATAAGAGGGATCAAGCAGAAGAAATTCTGATCAAAAATAATCCCTAAAGGTCAATCCTAGTAATTTGGCCATACTAATTCCTCTCTTGCCCTTTACAGATTTTTCTGTAACTTCCATTATCTTGTCTACATAATCCATAATTTAAGGAGCGGGGCTTAACTGCTACTTGAATTCATAGTCAGAGGTTTCAGAAGACATTCCACTTAAAGTATGAAGTCGGCTAAACAGTTTAAAGTTTGTTTTGCAGGAAAAATACTGTTCTTTAATATCATGGGGTTTAGGTACTATTTCCAAGACCCTGTAATCCTGAATGATAGTAGGTTATATAAATAGAAAGTATTAGTAAACTCTTGCTACATTACACGACATCAGAGCAGAGATATTTCAGATTTACTGACTGATCGGGTGCTGAAGGTATCCTGTGTCACTTTATAATTTGATTTTTACCTTCTATCAGTTTCATAGCATTCTTCTAAAATTTGACATCAAAGCTTGAATTATAATTTTGGACAGCCCTCCCACACAAACTGATCACAGTGTCTCACAGACAGGGAAATAAGAGTAAAGACTTTTTGACTACCAAAACGAAAGTGGAAAGCTTTGCTTTGAATGTTAGTCATACCTCATGTGCAGCCAGTCTGTATGCACATTTTAACCCCCAAAATAATTCAGGACTGGTCTGGACTGGAATTGCTTGCAACTTGCTGCTTAAGGCCTGGACAAACCTGCTTGTGTACCAGATGTTTTAGACATGCCCTTGTACAGACCTTTTTATGATTAAACAGAACTAGGAGAGGCACCATTGTGGTAGACGTTGTGCATGGATGCAACCTACTTTCCAAGCTAACGTGAGTTTAGCAGTGAGATAGGGCTACCAAATGGTACAGAGGCATCAGACTGCATGGACTCAGTATTCCCAGGCAAGAACTGATGCTGGCTCTGGGTAGAGGAGTCCATGTCATTCCTGGGATGTCAGCTGACACTATTCAACACCTGAAAACACGGAGAAGAGACAGACTATTCATGAATGCAGGGTATGAAAGCAGAGAAGGGGGTTCCTCGCCCATCAAAAAGGACTGCTACAGCATGTAATTGTAGCTAGCGAATAGGTTGCAAAGCAACTGCTGTGCATTATCAAGGGAATGTCCAGACACGTTTAACTCCCCCCATATGGATAACTTCTTGTTAGCAAAACAACTGAAGCAACAAGTTATGCAGAAGATCTCAAAAAGATACCTAAATAATAAAATAGAGGAAAAAAGTCAAAATCACAACTTCTGCTTGAACTAGAATACGATTGTTACTCTGATTAATCTAATTAACTAAGATTAATCATTTTTTTTTCGCTCTTCTCTTTGGAAATAAAATCTAAGTGCTCTCATTTGCAACAAAGATCAGTAGACGTTTAAACTGCAATTTGTATCTCCCTTACCCTGAAGCAATCTTGTGTTTTTCAAGAAGTATACCTCAACGAGTGACAGGACAAAAACACTTTGTAAATTGTGCAATTAGAAAAGTAGTTGAAAATAAGCAAAATCACTCAAAATTATCAACTGCAATAGCATAAGAACCCCCCTTAAAGAGAGACTATTACCTTCTTTCTAGCTTTCAAAATAAACACTATGTGATTTTAAGCAGTTCTAGGCAGATCACATAAAAAGATGAAACTAATGTATTCTAAAATAGCATGACCATAATACCGAAGTTGAACATAAATGTTCCTGCTTTATTGCAGTACAATTTTAATCCTTCTGAACCTCAAAGTATTGAAATTTTCATGAACAATGAACCAGAACAGAGGCAGGCAGAATTTTTTTCTAAAATGTCAATACTCACCGTAGAGTAGAGAGAGGATGTGCTGGAGACAAGTGATAATGAGGACCCATGTACTTTAAAAAAAGGAAAATAACATGAAATATTGATGAAAGCATAAAACTTGCCCCACGTAGCTCAATAACTAAACATGCTTTTAAAATGAGAGCCAGTCTTCCATGAAGAGCAATTATGAGCTATCAGTATAGAAAAGCTATTGATTTTTTTTTCCTGCACTTAAAAAGATTGTTCTATACAGAAAAAGCACTTTTCTGTGTATGAGGTAGGAGAGCGAACCAGTGAAATTCAGTATTATTACCAGCAAATCAAGCATCACTTTTGTTGTTTTGACAACAAATCACTTGGTAAATACACTCTTTAGAGAAATCAGAAATGGAGCAGTTTATACACCTGTCCAAAGCTGAGCAAACTGATTTTAATAAGAGACTATGCTTTGCAAAACTGTTCACATTCCCTGGGGTGAGTTCCCAGGCTTTGCTCAGCTGGTTTCTCCCCTCAAAACAATGCAGGCTCGTGTATTTGTAGTCCGTGTGAAGGGGTTACTGCAAGATGTAGTGCCCTATTTCCAGTAATCATCAGTAGAGTCAGACTCAAGAGCACCATGTGAATGTTGCAGGACTACTTCAACTAAAAAAATGGGGTTCCTGATCTTTCTGAAAATGGCAAGTGAAGACTAAACTGAAACAAAATTGCCCCTTCTGATTCTGATGACTCTCCTGAGGAAGGATATACCAACAGAGAATTTAAAAAAAAAAATTATTTCATTACTTCTTTTCATTTTTGTTTCAAAAGAAATTTGTTTAATATTTTTAATCTGCCAGGATTTGGTAAATAAATTATTTTGCTTTAATAGCTACCTGGCATTTGTACGCCAAACTGACAATACAAGAATACCTGCATTAGCCAAACAGACTTTAAATCTAGTTTTGTAACGGGGCAAATATTTACAAAGATGTGGTACACTGACCACTGAAACCCTATTGCTTTCAATCTATCTTTGGTTTTCAGTCTCTGCTTTAAATTTCTCAGTTAAACTCCCATTCTGCTCTCGTACACAGTGGCTTTACCCATTACCTCACTTTGACTATAACCTTCTTCAGAGCTCCTATCTTAAATAAAATACATTTGGCCTTCCAACAGCATCATTTCACGTTAATCTCTAATGACTGTAAACTGCTGAAAACTGTTTATTATTGCTGCACTGACTTTCATTTACTCAGGCTGATCATGGTTATCCACTCCAGCTGGATGTGAAACATGACTAATGAAAAAGCTTTCATTAAAGCCACCGGTGACCCATTACTGAAATTCTAGATTTAACACCTCTTTTTCTATGCATAAATTATTTGCCTTGTTTTCTCTATTATTCTTCCAGTGCTTCCTTTGATAATTCTCCTGTTCCTCAGCAAAGGGTCTGTAGTCACCTCTGTCCTTGAATTATGTGATACGCTCCTGTGCAGTCAGCCATCCTCTCTGTGCTGACAACTCACAGCTTGACCTGTCCTGCACCCTACTGCTAGCATTACATACCCAGATGTCTGCTTGACACATCATTGAAAACACAGAAGAAGGAATTGAAAAGTAAAAGTATTAGTTGTCGGTTATTTCATCTAGGACTTTTTATTTTTTTCCCTTTTATCTCATAACTATGTGCTTTGGGGCTAGGGAAAAACTTTATTTGCTTGTTATAAAGACCATTTATATTGTCATCACTTAGCTGTAAGTAAGATCAATGAGATGATGTTATAGAATGAATCTTTAGTGGGGGTTGTGGGGTTTTTTTTCCTTTTTTTTTCCCTTTTTTTTTTTTACATTAAAGGGTGCGAGAACTTTGTGCTTACGGGAATTCTGCAAATAATTAGATTTACCAGAAATGTTAGGCAGAAGAAAATTTTACAGTGCATTTAATTAGGAGTTGTCAGATGCTCTGTGGTTAAAAAAGAATAAAAACCAAGACCAAATCAAAAAATATTCCCCAAATTCCAGGTGTCGTACATAGTATTAAAGAAATCAGACCAACAGTAAACTGTATAAAGAAAGTAGTGAAGTCAGACTAAATGACAGAGTTTAAATACAGAAATTCACACAGTGTTTGCTGTAGGAGGCTGTAGGAAAGTGAGGAAATGAAATGACTACAAAAGAAAAGGGAGGCTAAGTAACACTGGCATGGAAAAAAAAGGAAATACAGAAGAAGGACTAAGAAAGTATGGAATCACAGTAGTCAACGTATGCTCAGACATTTCAAATGTAGAGGCAAAAAGAAGATAATTTTCCAAGAATGGCTTCCTTTCCTCCAAAATTTCTGATAAAGGATTTATACATGTACACCATACACAGCATTGCATATCACTGTGTGAAAGAAATACATTCCACAATTTAGGGTAAGGAAGTCCTGTGAGTTCAGCTCAACAGAACTGAAAGAAAGCTTTACAAAATTATTTAAGTTTTCATGTTGCAGAAGAAATATTTTAAAATTTTACTACACTTTGGAGGCCTATTTTAGGGGCCTATTTTGGGACCTATTCGCTGATCCAAATAGTAACTCAGTCTTACCTTCTTCCATGCTGTCCCTGAATGAACCTGAATGACTAATGGCTCGTGGTCTCTCTTCTAAGGATGTAGCACTGCCACACAGTTGGGAGTCATCATACAGATCAAAAGAAGTGTCTTGTGCAGGGATGCTGTTTGAACGCATCATACTGGGTCCAGGAAGGTTAAATTGAGATAGGTTGGTCGGACTCACTGGAATACAAAGCTTTATTAATGAAGCATATTTCCAACAAATGAATTTTGGTTCTGCATGAAATTGTAATGTAGGACTAGCATGGTTAGGTGGACTTTACGCTGTAGAGAAAAATGAAAGGCTTTTATTCCTACATACAAAGCCACCACAAAAAGGTGAAGCAGATGATCTCCAAGGAGCTGGATGAGGCTAATCCTGTAAAACACATGGTAACACTAACACCGGTGTCTGAATACACACTTGTTCACTTTGACAGACCAAGACAGAAAATCAATGGGAGAGATTCAAAAGTTAAAAGTTAAAAAGGAATAAGAAGTCATAAATATTTTTTATAAGCAGCTCTTCTAATAAATCAGTATCTCTATTTTAGTGTTATATACCTATATTACTGACTGCTGTTAAGACCAAAGTTTATTGGCATATGCAAGACCTATTTATCCTTTGATTTTCTACAGCACCTACCACTGTAATAGGTTAAAATTCCTGCACAGCCCAGTTGAATCTCATCATAATAAATACGAGTGGTTAATCACTCATGGTTAAAATCCAGAACAGCGTTGATAAACCTATTTTAAGCTTTTGCAAAGTTTGTTTGCCATTAGGAAGGAAAGCCTGGTTATTGTTCACCTATACCACATGAACTCAATGCCTAGAAGAAAAAGCTAATTGTCTATCTAAATTCAGCCTCAGTGTTTGGACATTTATTTCAGATCATGCAAGGTTTGCACTAAGTCATAAACTACCAGAGAAGCTCTGTTTTGAGAGCAAATTATTCCATAGGGCTATGACAATGACAAAATAAATTTACCCCCCCCCCATTAGGTTTTTATGTTGCTGTTACAAGTACAAGAGCTATGAACAAAAAGAAAAGGAAGATAATTGTAAGCAGAAAATGATAGAGTGAAAGAAACACTGCTTAAAAGGAGCTGTCTCTAAAACTACTACAAGTACACAGAGGAAATCCAAAGCAGTGGCTTGCTTAGCCAGGATCCAATTTCATTTTTAAAAGTGGCTTTGTTCAACTTCTTTTGCCATATGTAATAAAGATCAACATTTGTATGTCTGATCAAATTTCTTTTGAGTGATTGTAACCTACAGATGCTGTAAGCTGAAACAGAGTGATGGAAGTATGAATGCTTCAAAGGTTGCTGCTAATTTCACAGTAAGGGCCTAAACCACAAAAGCTCATTGTGAACCTAGATATGTGTCCAGTGCGGTGCAAATAAATGGTTTTCTATTAAGCATTAAAGAAAAAATAAAATTATTATCAAAACTAAATTTGCATTGGATTAACTTGAAACAAGATCCAGAAGAAACAAATCTAAATCTTGACCTGTAATCAAATAAATCTGAAATGTGACACACATCCCAAAATATTATATTGCATTCAAGGTTAGGATTTGGATTGGGTCAAGTGCAGTTATCATAGAATCACAGAACCATTTAGGTTGGAAAAGACCTTTAAGATCATTAAGTCCAACCGTTAACCTAACACTGCTAAGTCCACCACTAAATCATGTCTCTAAGCGCCACATAGCCAGGTCCAGCCACTGAAACACACTGGAAAGGCCCATCTCAAAGCAAACCTGTACAGAAGAAAAAAGCAGTGTTTAGTGTCTGGATTGATGTTCACTAAAATCACTGGAAAGAATCCTACTGACTGTGAATCCTAAAAGATGAGTAGCTTTGAACTAGAAGTTAATTTCCAGCTCTGACTCAAATTTTCTTCTCCTTAGGCAAATCATAGACAATCTGTGCTTTTTTTCTGTGTGTAAAACAGGAGGTACCCTGGCCTACTCCATGAAAAACACTGTGAGTTTCCCTTCGTTAGTGAGGTATGGTGATGGAGATGTTAAATAAACTATCTAGTCTGTTAAACTAAGAAATATGAACAGTTGAATTTTATGATTCTATTCTAGAGTGGGAGAAACAGTGGAGGGAAATGGCATTTACCCAGGTTGGAAAAGTGATATTTTCCAGTTGCAGATGAAGACATAGCTGAAGGAGAAACAAGCGGGGACTGACTGCCAGTGTCTTGCAGGCCTCCAGTTGAATGGGAGCGCAGCCATTCCTTGCCTTCCTCCTGACTCGTCTGCCGGGATGATGGAGTATATCTGAAAAACCACAGCTGACATGCTCAAAACAACGACAAGGTCACGGTTTGGAAAGAAACATGTGCCACATAAATACCCTTCACCGGTTAGATAAAATAAACCCCTTGGAAAATATCAAGTCTATTCAAGTGATTATCACCAGGGATTTTAACAAGGTAAAATTTACCATCTAATTACAACAGAAACAGTACAGGACTTGAAACTCCTTTCCTCTTCATCCCCCTCCCCAAACCAGCATTCCCTTCCTTTGAAGAGATATGATGATAAACCATAGAAGACAGACAACTGAGCTTACAGGAAAGGGCTTCAAAGCTATAGGAAGTGTACAGGTTGAAGCAAAAGCTCGGAAGCTGTATGGCTAGGATGGGGAATGGATGGGGAATGGACGGACTAGAAGCTAAGAAATGTGAGTAGCTCCTTACAAAATGACATGTACCACAGATCATGTGGGCAATTGGTTAGGTGACAGGAGAGAAACAGATCAACAACTCTGAAAAAGGAGGTTGCATCGGTAATGACAGCTACCCATGGTCATACGCGCGGTCTGCTGCCCTGAATGCTACTTGGCATTGCGTCCTGCCCCAAACTGGGGGGAGGGAAAGGGACAGGAAAAATCCGCAATTAGCAGAAACAAGTTCTCTGGAAGGAAGAAGTCTGGCAACCAAATAATTCACCAACTGCTTCCTATGGCAAACCAATAAAACAAGTGTAACTTGACATGTGGGCTAAGAGGGAGAACTGGTAACTCACTGGTCCAGCCTCTTTTGGCTGGGCTGGAAGAAGGGCAATTCTGGCAGTGGTTAAGCATTAAAATGTGCAGGCAGTGTGGGTCTTAATCAAGAGACTGTTTTCAGCAATCTCTGCAATAGCCTGCTTCATTCAGCACAATCTCCTACGGAGAAGTGAGCACCTTCTTCACCACTGTCGTGAGCCATCAGTGTTCCCCAAACAGCGGAGCAGAAAGGGCTTTTGATATTCTGGCTTCAGGCTTGCAAGGCACAAGTATTTCTGCTTAGAAAGCAGATTAAATGAACATGTAAGTTCTTATGTTGTGCTTGGGGTTTTGTACAATATTTTATGGCATTAAAACATCTTGTCCTAATTAAATATTTCTTTCTCCCTTCAGAAGGACAGCTATGATCTTTGCTTATAAATGTGGTAGAACAGAGTTACCCACTGGTTATCAGATCAGAAAGATGGCAAAATGAGAATTCAGGATCTGGGTCTTGGACTGGGATCTCTGCACATTAAATCAAACTGACAGCCCTTCTGGGATAACTGCTCAGGCTTATATGCCTATAAGCTGTTTTCCCACTCCATTTCACTTTCAGCTTTCAGCCACCATTACAGTTGTACAGCCATAAACCTCAATCATCCCATTGTACCCTTGCAGGGTCCCCTTTATGCCTCTTTCATGTCTTCCACCTTTTCCATTCTCTCTGAATCCAAAATGATTGTTTTGGGATAACAGGAAATCTGATTAACTTCTTATTGAGGAACAGCTGGTGCAGAAAAGCAGAAGGTCCTTTCCAGTGACAACACTTCAGCACTACCTTAAAATTTCATAAAATATTATTTATCAATAACTCAAGAGATTTAACTGGGTCATTTCAGTGACTAGAAGGCTGCAGAATGTCTGTGTGCATGCATGCATGTCCTTGCTTGCCAAATCTCCTTCCTGGATTAGGGAGATAGGCTTCCATGCCTGATGAGACCAGCCAAGTTACCTACTGATCCCCTCTTTTAACCATGGACCAGAGAAGCGGGTGGATGACTTCTGTTTTCTGTGTTGAAGACAGCTCTAATTAGTGGGGAATTAGTAGCAAAGTTGAACTCTGAGTATTGCTGGGTAGAGACCAAGAAGAGTAGCTGGAGCAGGGCTCATTTTATAGTTAACAAACCTTGGATATTAAAATTAGCATTTTCTAGCCCTACCCTTTACTAGATCTTCAAGTTAAGTTGCATGAGTGTTTGCATTTAGAGTGCAAGTTCAGATCCACCTCTAAAATCTTGTTTTTCTCAATAATCTTTTCAATAATTAGTCCCATTGAATTGCAAAAGTATCTTGTTCTGTCTCTTTTAGCTCTCCAGGATTCAATGCCTTTTAAGATTCATTGCACAAGGAAGTTATCCTTAACAGTATTCACTTTCCACGATATATCTTGAAAGGCAATTTATTCACTATGCAGACTTGGAAAGAAAAAGTCCATTGTTAAAATCTACATTTTCTGGTTTGAATTTAGATACCAAGAACTCTGTTGTAAACAGGATCAAAGGGAGAAAGAGAAGGAAAGACAGTGTATAAAAGGTTATAGGAAAACAGAAAAGCACCAGTCATGCTCAAAAAATATATATACCTTAATCCCTTTTTGGGTAGTGTATTTCTGTCAAGCTGCATGCTGTTAAAACAAAAAAAATCCCTAAGGACATACAGCAAACAGGACTGTTCAGAATTACAAATTTTAAAGGTCTAGATTTGTGTACATAACAGAAGGTCATTTAATGCTTTTGAATATATCTTTCATGATAAATCCCTGGCTCACTGGAGGGGACAACAGGACATGGACTGCTGCACGTTCATTTTTCATCTAGACATGCTGTGGGCTGGGTCAATGGTACTTTGGAGATTGTCCAAGTCGGAAAGAAGTCCTTCCTTACCATTTCTAACCTTCCTACAGCTTCATCCTGCAATCTGTGTGAGAATCATATGGTCACAGTATGAATCTTTCTTTTTCACAGTTGCCTATGATATGCCAATAGATTTCTGAAAGAAATGAAGGTTGTGGCACCTGCTAAGAGACAGCATGGCTTTGCCAGAAGCCAAATGATAGCTTTGTGTATAGAAATACATGCTAAATATATAGACCCTTGGCTTTCTGTTGTGTTGGGGCTCACATAGTAAGGTGATGGTGGGGACAATGAAAAGTGGCACCAGAGCGACGTTGTTCGATATTCATGCACACACGGTGGCAGAGTGGCTGATTACTGGAAATCTATGGCTGGAGTTTTCCTAATTTAATCCCCATCACTAGAAGGGCACCTGCTAGTCTTCCTTCAAATAAATGTCATTTGGGCATTTCCTCATAAAGACTTGATAGATCAATCCCTGACTAGTGTGGGTTGAATTTGAACTAGTTATCATCAAGTAAATGTTGCAATGTTTTTTGCCTTACAGACGTAACTTAGCGTTACCATATAGATTAAATCGCAAAATGGCTTTAGAAAGTATCTGTATTACATATCATAATCACACCTCTGAGAGCAACAGTAACTTAGGACCCTTCCTACCCAGGAAAATCCTCATGCCATTATTAAAGGTTGTTTCATATTGTGCTGGGTGCCCTACTGTCACATAACCTTGATCCAAACAGGTAAAGGCAGTGAAAACACTGTTGGCGTTAACAACCCGTTACCATTAGGGCTCAGACTAATGGAGGTAAACTGGTCTTAATCACCAGGAAGTTTTATAGGCAATTTTACCAGTTTAATCAGGGCCTTGTTCTACATGGGGAGAAAGTGAATGGAAGGAGAAACTTAGCAGGATATCAGCACAGGCCCATCTATCATGGTCCATGTGAGAGTAGTCCTCTATCAGACAGACTAGCTTTTTAGCATTTTGCTCCCGACATAACTAACAGGACCAAGAAGGGCTGGTAAAAGGACAACATAAATTTGAAGGCATTATTCATGTATTTTTTAGTTCCTTATAGAGAAGAATGGGGCTTTGATATTCCTTTACGTACCTTTATGCACCTCTAAATTTCAAAACAAACGAACATGATCATATTAACAACTCCAGTTTCTTCTGCAAATAATTCAAACAACCTAATGAACAATATATTTTCTAATATTACTTTAACTTGAAGTTCTATGTATTTCAAAATAATCTATAGTACATTATCTAACATTAAAGGAGCCAATCAGTGGTCCTTTAAAGCAATTCACAAGCCAAAAGTTCTAAGTCAGTCAGATAAACAGGCTAATACTGACCACAGGGTTTTGCTAAAAAACTTTAGAATTCAGATACTCAAATGAAATAGGGGTGAATATTCCTTAACATGAGCATGGAATTATTGCAACTGCATAAAAGTGAATGTAGCAGACATTAATTCTGTGTTTTTAAAACACTAAATCTTGTGAAGATGCTCTTATATTTCAGATAATTGCATGAAACTATTAACCATTCTTCCATGTAACTATTAATTCAGAGCGATAACTGTCCATATCTTTTTAGTATCTGAAAGCCT